TCATGGCCAGGAAAACTCTGAAAGCTCCTGGGGTGTACCCAAGAATTTAGACTTTAAACACTTTCCACCTCTTAAGGAAATGAAGCTTCCAGATTAAAAAAGAAATCAAAGAGTCCATCGAGTAACAATAATAATGAGAGGCACGATGTATAATAGTTCAGTTTGCCCTGGGTCAAGGGTACTCAGGCAAATAGCCTAAACTCTTCATAAATCAAAAGCCAGGGGATTTAGGATTAAATCGGTTGCACAATGTTCACAGCAAAATCACAATTTATTCAAATCCAAGTGAACTTCACTTGTGTCTGTGCAACACTCAATTTGACAATTTGCTCCCTTTATATAAACTTTGGAACATCAAGTACAAGAACTCATTTTCCAAGGAAGTGATAATAAATTTCCTTACACATTTCCTTGAAGATGTGACTCAGTTTTTCTCCCTAGAATCCCTTTCATCTTATGCCTTTTCCTCCTACCGGTCAGTAATAATTTAAGGGTTAAAATCAAGAGATTATCTACAGAAACTCTTTCCAGAGAATCATTATTCCATGCCTACATGAACACTGCTAATGATCTATATTAGTTGCGTAGAAAGCTTGGTTAAGTCTTCAATAAAATTAGTAGCATGCCCATGCATACATATTACTGCATTTACAGTTTTATAGGTAAGTCTGTGAGCCCAACTATAATTTCATTTCATGGGAAGTCATTCATATCAGGCAGCTCCAATTTCAAATAATTCAAAGGGAAATTGGTACTTAAAATTGGAATCTCTTCTGGCCATAAGCCCTAACAAGGAAACAAGCAGAGGAAACATGCATCAGTCATTCTCAACCTGGAGCAAATACTGCTCTAATTTATTTTTACTATTGGTGGCTACATTTCTTTCATTTTGAGTCAAGAAAAGCAGAATACACAAATAATTTTCATTTTATGAAAAGGTTATTACTTTCTATCTGTTCTATTTAATCTAATGTTGGCTTAGGCTCGTTATGTATCATACGCTTCCTATTGAACTTCTGATCTAGCCACTACATTTTTCAAATTAATAATTCAAAAACACAAAGGTTACTGTAAACAATTTAGTTTCCTTTTCTACATGTGATTTCCTGCTGTGCAGTAAGCAATATAAAAAATTAATTTAAACCTAAGAGTCTTCAGAAACTATTAAATATTGACTCACTAATCCTTTGCTGTAGGATTTTATAATTGTTTGAAGAAAACTGATTAACCTGTAGGTTAATTTAAATTTTCAATCGCATCAGAGAAAAATAAGACAACTTTCTTTTACCAAAATTTATCTGTACATGCATTTCGTGGTTTCTGTTAAAACTTGAAGACATTCAGGATTTTACTCTTTAATATCTTGGGCCTCCTTACGCAAATAATATCACAGACATATGTACAGTCCTGAGTCGCTGCAGCCCTGAGACTTCTCAAGGAGGTCTGTCAATGCCAGTGCTAAATGGGACCAATTTAGTGTCTGACTTTTAGTTTTGACTTACCTTTACAAATGTAAGTACTTTTTTTTTTTTTTCACATATACAAATCCGTATTGCCACTGAGCCTTTTGAAATGTAATAGGAGACTTTGTCTTCACCCCCAAGTTTCCATGTGCACATGAGCTCACTCACCGACACACACACAATAAAGTCTCACTAACACTCAGCTGGGCTTTATGACAATTTGTCATTGATTGTGCCTTTATTCTACTGTCAGCAAGATACACATGTTGGATAAATAAATGAATAGCATCAGTGGTTTTTAAAGCATTTAGAAATCAACATAAGTAATTTATGCACTAGGAACCTCTGATTCAAGACTACATTTAAGGATATCTATTGGGTTTACTCATTCTAAGAATATGCTTAGAAGTTCTAAAATTATAGTCTTTAAGAATATTCTATAATTTGGGCTATTCGATAACTATCTCCTATTATATATTAGTTTCTATATGACATACTTGTTCCATATTGCCTCTAGCTATTGAAGCTGTGAGTGCTTTTTTTCCTGTCCAATAAATCCACAAATCAGTTATGAATTGTCTGTATAGCTCCCCCCACCACAAACATACCCCACAATGATGAATACAGTCCTTTAAAGTAGGAATTCTGTGTCAAGATAGGTCAAATTTGAAGCTGACTAACCTTGACAACATTTTCCTAGAAAGTATTCCAAATACGTTTTCTTTCAAAGCAAATGGCTGTCTTCAAGAAAGCCCTATAAAATATACATTTGTTCTTTTCTTTCATACTTTAAATCTGTTTTTATAAATCAATAAATGCCCACAGGATACTCTGACCAGAAAAATTGCATCAAATCCTAATAATGTAAGTTATGTGTTAATAAGCATTTTAAAAATTGTACATTCTTTTAGAATGTCATTCTTCAATTGAAAATGTAGTTTGGTGAGTTGGAAAAATGTTTCTTTCCGAACCTGGGGAATAGCTTTTCTTTGAAAATTTATGTATGTGTTTCAGATGTTATGAACACAATTAAGATTTAATCATTACCACTGTGGCGGCATTTTTTATTCTTCGTGCAGACGACATTGCTACTTGAACATAAAGTTCTTAAAGCAGCAAAATTTATTTTCCTGCCTTCTCTATAGGGATTTGCAGAAACGAACACTGAGAACTTAAGACATAGAGGTTAGAAAATTAACTCTGGGCAAGACAACTTTGAAAAGCAGTTTCTGAATGGCAGCTCTTGTGTTTCCAGATCTGAGGCGGCATCCATGCCGGGCCATTTACAGCTTCTGTTCCTAAATGTGCTTCCTATCAATCTTTGTTACATCAGGGTAAATAGGAATGCTGCCGTCCTGGATGTCTTCCAAAAGTGCCATCGAAAGCTTACTGAAAAATTTATTTAAGGAATCACACTCTGATTAAATACACAGAGGCTATTTTGAAATGATACCTTAGGAAAAAGAAAACGGTCTAAAATAGAAGTTTGAAACATTTTCTCGGGTTACTACTGTCAGCTCTAAACTGCATCATTATTTGGGGAAATAGCTTCATTTTTTTAAATGCTTTTCCCTAGATAGGGTCCTAACATTGCTTCCAGTGCACAATGAAACTCTACATAACACCAAAAATTTAAGTATAATATAAACGTTCAGAATTTTCACGAAATTCTAAAATATAATGCTATCATATTTATATAGGCATGTGATTTGCTAAATCTATGGTATTTGAATACAAACTGATTTCTAAAAGGAATGGCTTAACTATATTGAGTAAAACTCTATCACTTCTATTTTTACTTTGCATCTTATCTACCTTTAAAAAGATTAATCTATAGCTATGGGGAGAAAAATTCTGTCCACTAAATGTATATTATTTAAAGACTTGTGGATAAAGGGAAGACTGTGTTTGAAAATTTAGCAAATGCCAATTTACTAATTTTTCCCAACAGAAAATGGCCTATGACATCTATGTAAATACACAAAAAGTACCACCTCTCTAACTAAACGAATAAATATTATGCGTGTGATCTCCCCGTAATGCGTATGAAATTAATTTTTCTGTGAAATTTATTCTTCCATGAGTGTTAACAGGAGGCATAGAACCTTATTTTTTGCATGCAGCAAGTAAAGGTAAATCTGATTCTTTTAGGGTCCCCAAATGACCGGCTCACATCACTGTTTCTGGTGTCACGTGAATTTACACCGATAAGCTATGTGAAGTATTTTTCAGGCTGCGCAACTGACAATCCAAATTAGGGGTCGATAAATCCAGCCCACTGCCTGCTTTTGTAAATAAAATTTTATTTTATTATGTTCAGTTAGCCACTGTATAGTACATCATTAGTTTTTGCTGCAGTGTTCAATGATTCATTAGTTGCGTAAATAAAGTTCTAATAGTGCACCTCTATGCTCATCAGTTCATGCGTTGTCTATGGCGGCTTTTGAGTTGGCAGAATTAGCAGTTTGTGCCAGGGATGTTATCACCTGGCAAACCCTGAAGTCTTTACTATCTGATCTTTCACAGAAAAAAAAAAAAAATTGTCGACCTCTGATCTCAATCGATAACTATATGGAATCCACCTTAAGTATAATGCTTTGAAAGCTCCAGAATTAAAAGTGATAGCCCAGTTCATAACAGCAGGACAAATTATATAGTTCAGTTATCCATGCAAATTATATACGTGTGAACTGGGTCGCTTAGGAATGATGTTCAAAGCTTCACAAAGTCATAGACAGCCATCAAAATTTCCCAGTTCTGCATTTAAAAGTATCTATCTAGAGGTAAACTACTATATTTCAAAGTAAATAATAAATATCTTTAAAAAAACCTATTTGTCCCTAAAGTTATCATTGAAACCAGCATAAAGGAATGCTAATATAAATAAATGATTGTTTAAACTAGTCCTGAATCACTTGTTTCCTAAGCAACATAAGGAGAAGCCAGGATATCTCATTTGCTGTGAAATGTTTGTTTGTAATTTTCCTAGTCAGTGCCTTTTTAAATACCTAAATGCAAACTGTTAATGAAGAGAAACATCTGAACTCTTTTGAGTATGTTTATTTGTTATAAATAACACATTCTGAGCCAAAATTAACTTACCATCATTTCAAGTGCATATTGATTACAACTTGGCAGCATCCTTTTCCGGATGTTGCCATTTTTTATAAAGAAGATGGACTGTTTAGCGGAATGATTTTATTTTATCAATAAAAGTGAGACTTTTAAATGCCTTTATTATAATTGCACTGTGTGATGTTGACTATCATTTTGTATCACATTATTCAGTACCAATTTCAGAAGCATCCGGAGCTTCACACGCCTATTAGTATCTCAGAGCCAACTAGTCACGAACAGAGGAAGTAATACAATCGCTTTTTGTTAATGTTCTCATGCGACAGGCAGAGGCAGTCAATGTTAGACCTGGTAAAACGCATCTAGCTCTAGGTGAGATCTGGGGGGAGATGCAGCAACAAGAAAGCGGCACCGACTGAGCATGCTCCTACTCAGGCAGAGACAGAAAGGGAGTGGACGTACTGTAGAAGCTGGCCATTACGTAGTTTTGGCAGCGATCACCAGTAAACTCATTTGGGCACCTGAGAGAAGAAACAAAAAACAATGGTAGAAAAAACAGAGAAAAAGAGAAGAGGTGAATATACGCTAGAAAGAAGCTCCTTCAGTGTCATTTGACTGAACTTGGTGAGTTCACCCTCAGGAACTGAGTCTTTGTCCTAACCATGGTTTCCAGACTCTGGCATTTCCCCCAAAGGATTCAAAATTTGGACGAAGTGTGGTCCCAGCGTCTGCATGACGGAAAGATGGCAGCATCTTAAGGGGCAGCTTTCTTCCAAAGGGACTCACCTACAGTGAACTCGGAGGTATTCTTCGAGTCCGTTTTCCATTTGAGAGCTTTGGTCAAAGGTGTTGGAAGGAAATTTTCTTTTTTTTTGGTTGGCCTGCCTGCCACGGTGGCCAGCCTCACTGGCCATCTTGGCCGGCACTTCTCATTTACCTTGATGATCTTTGGGGCCCAAGCTGGCAGACAGTGAAACAAGCTCACACTGAATGAGTTTACACCCCGAGTGCTTAAGCCATTGTTAGGACAAAAGGAATCAGTTACAACTGAACTGTAAAAGCACCAAGTGGTAGTAATTGTTGCTGTAGTTTGGGGGAGAAAGCAAATTTCAGATTATTTTAACATACTTTCTTGGTTTTGGACTTTCATGGGCACATTCTCAGTACATCTTGCTCCAGTGAATCCAGGTTGGCACCTAGAGGGCAAAAATGTGATAAGCAATAGAACGCTATAGACACTGAATTTTCAGACTGGCAATTTTCCTCCTATGGAATATGGAGATTCCTACAATGACCTGGTGACTGAACAACATAAAGAAAAGGAAAAGAACACATTTAGAAAACCAAGTTCCAAGACAACTGCGGGGCATATATTTTTGTTGTGGTTTGCTTCAGTCTTCCTAAGAAGAGTTGACTTAAATTTAACTCAAGGGAGGCTGAAAAGTTGAATAGGGCTGGCAAGGCCTGGGCCACTAAGTCACCTTCCCTTATTTGCCACTGGGCACTGACTCCTACCTTGTTAAAACGCTGGTTTTGATAAGGACTTACACGGTTCCATCCATGATCTTTTATTATTTAAATGATCCTAAGCCTTTCCATCCTCTATACACTCAATTCTGTACATTCATAGCTACTTTTATGTTAGTTCAATCATCGAACTACCAGAGAAGTCAAGCGCTTCCATACTCTAGCGATTACTGACAAGAACAACTATATTCCCCATTTTTTTAAAGGTATTACAGATTAGGTCTCATTTTTAATACTGCATGACAGAAAAAGGCAGATTATTTATTAGCACAAATTTCACTTCATCCATGGATCCCAAATCAAAGGCAGATACGTTTTTAAAATTTAAATGGCTACTCTTCTATAGTCGTACTTAACAGATATCATTTTGTATCTAAGATAAAACTATCTTTCAGTGGTATAAACTTTTCATTTTACTCACATACGTTCACCCATATCGTTCATAAGGTCATGCAATGGGGATGCGCCTAACTTTGGAAGTCCTTTCTAACGGCTCTTTTTGTTGCTGTTATACCACTAACGAAAGCATTTCATATTGGATTCATTGTACCCAATAACATACTCTAGGAAATAGGGCCATCAAAAGGTTCCAGGAAGCAAATAAACTTATAGATGCTCAACACCCATAGCCGTGATTACTATTAATAGTTTAGCTATACCATAATGATCATGCAAAACACCTAATAAAATGTAGCAGTGACAGCACATACCTCATGATTTACACATGACCCTGTCTTCTCAGAGTAAATAAGAATAAACACTATTTTTTTGGCATCAAAGAAATGTGAATAAAACTATTCATTTTTACAAATGTAAGGGTGATATTTTTCTCATTCCCCTTAAAACCATATTCAATGCCAAAAAAGTATTACCAAGTGACTTGGTGTATCTAATTTTCCTATTTCTTTTCTTTTTTTTTTTTTTTTAAAGGTTTTATTTATTTGACAGAGAGAGACACAGTGAGAGAGGGAACACAAGCAGGGGGAGTGGCAGAGGGAGAGGCAGGCTTCCCGCAGAGCAGGGAGCCCGATGCGGGGCTCGATCCCAGGACCCTGGGATCATGACCTGAGCCGAAGGCAGCCGCTTAACTGACTGAGCCACCCAGGCGCCCCTCTAAATTTCCTATTTCATGAAGAATGGCGTGTAAGATAAAATACTAGCACTTCTTGAGTTTTAGTCCCGTGAGTTCTTGTGCAAACATAAAGTGTAATTATGATTATTAGCATATTATCAATAAACTTAACAACAAACATCGTGTATTGGTATAGCTCTTTTCAACCCTTCAAAACACTTTTGTATAATTAAACTGGTTATTTTTGGTTAGAATATGTTTGCAGCAGTGAATAGAGGAAGATCTACCCAGAGAAATCCAGAAATAAGAATGGTAGTCTGTAGGGGCTCCTGGGTGGCTCAGTCATTAAGCATCTGCCTTTGGCTCAGGTCATGATCCCAGGGTCCTAGGATCGAGCCCCGCATCGGGCTCCCTGCTCTGCAGGAAGCCTGCTTCTCCCTCTCCCACGCCCCCTGCTTGTGTTCTTGCTCTCACTATGTCTCTGTGAAAAAAATAAATAAAATCTTTCCAAAAAAAAAAAAAAAAAAGAATGGTAGTCTGTGAGGTTGGGCCATTTTTCATAAAGATGTCATTACACATGCTTTAATAAGAATGTCTTCACAGATATATGAGGAAAATACATGGACACCTGTTTTCCATAGAACTTATTTCACATAATGACTTCTGAAATACACAGGGTCTTTGTTTGTGTATTTGTTTCTGAACTAGGATTGCAAGTCCGCATGGGCATACCCTACAATTAAGCAGGTAATCCAGAATTAAGGATATATTCTATGATGACCATTTCATCTTACCTGTTTGCATTCTTGATAAAAATTAGAATTCTCATATTGATCACACAATAATCCACTTGTTCCGTGCAATGAACATGGTATAAGACATGTGAACACTTGCGTGTGGCGGGGGAGAGGGGAGGTAGGGGAGAACCATTTGAAGTAAGAAGTGCACTGATTTAAGGATCAGGAAATTAACATATAGCTGAAGAATCATGAGTCCCTTGAGAGAAGGAATGCATTTATTAGAAAATTGTCATTTGTGCATCTTGGGTGTCCGTGTTGAGTGAGAAGGCACAGGACAACTGGGTGAAGTGGATCAAAACTCTTGCCCAATCAATTTTCTAATTAGTATGAACTTCTAAAATGATGTTTCCTAGGAACCTGGCATTATGGCTTGGTGGTTTATCTCCATCATAAGATGACATTGACTATCTGGTATAGTAACACCAGATCTGCTGAAGGTATGGCAATCTTTTTTGGAACTATCAGTTATATCTGAACCCAAACTACCCTTATGCTAATGTTTCCCTTCACTCAGATAAATTTTCTTAGGGTAAAGCCTTATTATTATTCAAAGTGTGGTTCATGGACCAAAAGCATCAGCATCTCCTGGGATCTTATTAGTAGAAATGCAGAATCTTGGGCCCCCACTTCATAACTACTGAATAAGAATCTGCATTTTAACAAGATCCCTAAGAGATCTGTATGTACATTAAAGTTCAAGGTGTCAGGGACCCCGACCTTGGAAGATGGAGACTAAGTCCCTCTATCCTGTCACCACAGTTATCTTGGGGCTTGGACGTGGGCAGTCCATTTGACTTTGACTTCATCAGGCCTCAGTGATAAGATGAGGGACTTAACTAAGTGATTTATCAAAGGCTCCTTTCACCACAAAGGTTCTGGGAATCAATGCTCATCCTAACACATGGAGTCACTGTATGAAAACTGACGAGCATTTCTTCTGAATGTGTTACCGGTCGGGGAGGACTCAAGGACTTTGAAAAAACATTTTTGATAGGATGCATTTTTAAGACCATCATGAAGGGAAAACGAATTGCAAATACCTATTCCTAAAGCAATTTGAGCGTGCAGCAATAGTCATTATGTAACTTTTGTGGACATCTAGAGTTGTCGCCAAATTAAATGGAAGGAAGCAGAGACTGAGATAGTTTTTATGTAAGCAAACTGCAGACTGCATTGATTGTATACAGAAAGCATATGCAAATGGAAATTCATCTGATCTATAAGCTCTGATTAACTTCTATGGAATTACTTCTGAAAGACAAGGAGACTGTCTGGCTTCTTACGTATTTATAAATTAGCATTCTACATTAAGCATCCAATCTATCACTTTCTTTGGAGATAAGAGTATGGTAAATTTAATCTGATTTTGAACAATATGCTTTGGCAAGAGTCTGGGAAAATTCCAAGAATTTTATTTCTTAGAAAAATCTGTATGAATAATAATAAGTCTCTATTGTAGCCTCAAATGTCTCTGTCTCTGAAACCATTTGTTTCATTGATCAGAGTAGACGAAAATTAGTATTATTTTTTGTTTTAGTATTTGCTCTTAACATGATAAATAATTTTTGCTCTACATTTGTGCTTAATGAGATGAAAGTTCACAGACAGTTTCGTCTGAACTTAAAAGTATCACCTCTTCCAACTGACCCTTCCCTGACCTCCATCTCCCCATCTCTGGCTCCCACGGCCTAGCTGACGATTCTCTCTTGGGCTCCCGCACTGCACCCTGTCCCCATCTCTTTCATTGCCCTCGCCTGTCTGGGTTGGGACAGTGACCATATTTTGATCATTCTGTATCTCTAATTTTAACTCAGTATCTGCCTTGTCAAAAGCTCTCACAAAATGTTTGTTAAACCGAGCCTAAGAGTGTCAGAATGCAGTGTCCAATAAAGGGTGAAGGTAAACATTAGCATAAGGGTAGTTTGGGTTCAGATATAACTGATAGTTCCAAAAAAGATTGGCATAGCTTCAGCAGATCTGGTGTTACTATACCAAAGAGTCAATGTCATCTTATGATGGAGATAAACCACCAAGTCATGATGCCAGTTCTTTATTGGACACTGCAAGACTTGAACATAGTATTGTCAAACAGAAACTGTTTGCAACAATAACCTTAATACTT